CTCTAAAAACTCATCGCCCGCTACAAAGTGTTGATGAAAAGATTAATTCCTGGTTACCTGCGAAGCTGGAACTCTTCTTGGGCTCTAGGAGACATTGGAGCTTTCTTTGTATCCAGAAAACAAATTTATAATCCATCTGAAGGAACTTGAAGCATAATTGAATTTAAAAAAAAGAATTAAGAATTATTAATGTGGTGTAGGAACTAAGGGGAGGACTAGAGAAAGTTCTAGTCTTCATTCTGCCATGTGTAAAATTGGGAATGGTGTGGTCTAATTGAGTAGTGCATATGTTTTAAAAAGAACTCCCATAAGCAAAAGAAAAGGTGGGAAAGAGGCACTTCTTCTCATTACCCTTTGACAAACAATGCTCCTTCCCTACTCTAATGCTTCTTGCTATGCACAACCAGTATAAGCAAACAGATGAACAAAAGATTCCCTAGAGACTTTGTTTCCCCCCTTAGGTGCTTTCACAGAAATTATTTTATTTCATCTTTGCAATGACTCTGTGTAGAAGGTGCTATTAGGCCCATTCTTGCAGGTGAGGAGCCTCAGAGAGCTGGAGGAACTTGCCGATGGCCTCCCAGTATGAAACTGGAGATCACAGGACTTGAGCCTGAGCAGTCTGATTCCAGAGCTAGTCTTGAGGCTACATTAAATTGATCATATGATGCCAGGATGATTATTGCCAATATATAGTTTCAAAATTAACCACTACCAGATCAAAGTGAGACAAGTGGAATACTTGGCATAATAAATCCATTGAGCTCAGAATCAGTCACAAAATCATTAAAATAGCACCTCTGTTCTCACATCTCATCTGCTTGACTGTCTCTGAGGTTCCAACAGTCTACTTCCTAGCACAGATATTTCTCAGGGTGCGGAGCTTTGAAAGAAATGTCAGTTGGTTTATCCAAAGAGTAAAATAGCATTCCTTCATTAAAGAGATGATATTAGCACATTGGCTAGCATGAATAGAGCTAATGCTTTGTTGTAGGATCAAACTGCTTCTAAAAACTATTACTAGTCAACTCTCTCCAAAATTGACAGAAATAATGGGCAATAGAGGTAGGAACATAAATGAAAATGATTTTCCTAGTAAATTATTATCTGAGCAAATCCTCTCTGCAGGGGATTTGTTAATAAATATTAACAAACATTATTGACATTTCCCTTTATTTCTTTTCATTGTGTCTCCAGCAGAACTCTCCATGAAAATGAACAGTCTCCTTGGCTGTTGAAAACCATAGAAACAACTACACTCAAAACACGTTTGTTCAGCTGAACGCTACCACAGGGAAGCACCCATTTTAATCAATACATTATGGAAGGATAATGTAACACCCTAACTAGAGTAGATTCCTATATATTGATTTGGGGTATTTTTTTAAAGATAAAAAAGTAGCATTTATTTCCTTTTCATATGTTTTCTTTTTGTTTAGTTTTAACTTACAATGAAGTGCACACATCTCAAGTGTGCAGACTGATGACATTTTATATTTGTGTATATCCGTGAAACCACAACTCAGATCAAGATATAGAACAGTTTTAGGGACCAGTAGTTAGTGTAATGGCTATGTCGCTGGACTCCCATGTAGCCGACCACGGTTCGCGTCCTGAACCCAGTGGCTTAAAACTTAACACCAGGACGTGTGCATGCGTGCCCGAGATCCCGAGAGAGAATGGAGGAGAAGGGATTGCAGCATGACCATCCCCTCTGGGGGATGATTTCTTGCTTTCTGTCTCTCTGTCTCTCTCTGTCTGTCTGGCGACCACACACGCCCTATAGCGAAAACCTCTCAAAAAAAAAAATATATATATATAGAACAGTTTTGGGGTCAGCAGGTGGCATGGTAGTTAAGGCACTGGGTTCCCATATGGTTGACCATGGTTTGAGTCCTGGACTCAGTGACTCAATAATCATGCTGAGCACATGTGCATATGTGCCCCAAATCCCAAGAGGAGAAAGGGGGAGAAAGGATTGTGGCATCACCATTGCCCCTGGGAGGTGATTTCTCACTTTTTTTTTTTTTGAGAGTTTTTTTTGCTACAGGGCATGTGCGCTCGCCAGACAGAGAGAGAGAGACAGAGAGACAGAAAGCGAGAAATCACCCCCGTGGGGGGATGGCCACGCCGCAATCCCTTCTCCTCCATTCTCCTCTCAGAATCTTGGGCATGCACGCACAGGCGCCTGGCGTGAGTTCCAAGCCACCGGGTCCGGGACGCAAACCACGGTCGACTACATGGGAGTCCAGTGACACAGCCATTATGCTAACTGCTGGTCCCTGATTTCTCACTTTCGCTCTCTCTTTCTCTGGCAAGCACATATGCCCTATCGCAAAAACCTAAAAGAGATATAGAACATTTTCAGCACATCGAAGGGTTGGCTGGTGTGAAGAAATTACTAATTAGCCTCTCCGCTCCCAAGTAACCACTGCATTGGCATCTCTGAGGGGAGTTTTAGAAAGTTCATGGAAAATATGCATTATTAAAAAAAAAAAGAAACTATACATGGCTTACAAAAAATTTCTGTACCAATATAAACTTGTACTTTAATTCCATTTTCCATGCATTTTTTGACCTCCTTTCATATCACACAAAGTTAAGTTTGGCCTTAATTTAAGATAATTAGAATTATACTATATATACTTTTAAAGATGTGTTATTATTGTTTAATTTTCTATAGGGCAAATGCACTCATCAGAGAGACAGAGACAGAAAGGGAAAGTGAGAAAGCAAGCTGTCAGGTCCTGAACTCAAGCCACAGTGGACTATGTGGGAGTCCAGCACCTTAACCACCACACCACCTGCTAGCCCCACCATATATATACTTTTTTTTTTCTTTGAAGCGGTTTTTGCTATAGGGCACATGCGCTCGCCAGACAGACAGAGAGAGACATAGAGACAGAAAGCGAGAAATCACCCCCTAGGGGGGATGGCCACGCCGCAATTCCTTCTCCTCCATTCTCCTCCCAGGATCTTGGGCATGCACGCACACGCACCTGGCGTGAATTTCAAGCCACCGGGTCCGGGACATGAACTGTGGTCAACTACATGGGAGTCCAGTGACATAGCCATTACACTAACTGCTGGTCCCACCATATATATACTTTTTATGTAGCTATTTATTTATTTATTTTTTTTTGTAGAGGTTTTTGCTTTAGGGTTCATGTGTTCTCAGAGAGGGGAAAGTGATAAATCAACACCCCCCCTTCCCCGCAGGGGGCTGGCCATGCCAAATCCCTTCTCCTCCGTTCTATTCCTAGGACACACACACACACACACACACACACACACACACGGTATGAATTTTACACCACTGGGTCCGGGACTCAAACTGTGGTCGGCCATGTGAGAATCTAGCAACATAACACTATACCATTTGCTGGTCCCTGTCTAGCTTATTTTTCTTTTCTTCTTCTTTTTTTTTTTTTTTACTAAACATATGTTGATGTGATTCGTTCTTTTTAAAATATTATCGGTTATTGTTGTGTGATATATTATTCTAAGACTATAAAGTTTATATCCCATTTTCAAATAAAAACAAATTTTTTCTATGTTTTTGTGGGTAGATGTTTGGGTTATTCCCAAATTTTATCTGTGACCAATAAAGACATTATTAATACTCTGTGTATGTCTTTTGTTGGACCATATACTCATTTCTGTTGGGTAAATATCTAAAAGCAGAATTATTGTGCAGCAGGCCAGCTCGAGGTTTAGCAGGACTGCAGCCATTTTGGAAGGAAGAAAGGCCTCTGACAAGCACAATTTGACCAAGTGCTGAGTCATGGAGAGGTCGGTTTGAGGAATGGTCAGATCAGAAACCAGGAATTTAAAGAAAAACAGGAATCAGGATAACTGCTCAAAAGAAAAAGATTGACTTTGATTATCGGGAAGACTGATTTGCATATGTTTGTAGCTTATATCTCTAAATACTGAGCACATGTTGAACTGTTTGAGACAGTTTGATGGTGCTTGCTGACTGTCTCCCTGTCACTTGGTTGTAGAAATAAACTTCTGTCTCCAGCCTCTCATTTCATTGACCATCAGGAGAAGCAGTTGGACTCAATTTGTCAATACAATGGTGTCTTTGGGCAGCATAGGTTTGGCTTTAGTACTAGAAACTGCTAAATCCTTTCAAACTGGTTTCATCAACCAATTAATACTCCTGCAAACAAAGTACAAGAATCCTATTTGTTCTATATCACTTCAAAACTTTTCGTTGCCATTCTTTTACATTTTAACTATTTTGCAAGATTTGTGGAGACATTTAATAATATTTTTAAATGTGCTTCTATTGATGCCTAATGATACTGCACACTTGTTCATGTGCTTATAGATCATTTCTGTGGGCTAAAAAGCTTCCAATTAAAAGTCAAATTTGTTAGACTAGATTTTTTAAAGACCCAATTATATACTATTTATAAGAAGTGCACTTGAAATATAAATACAGATAGGTTAGAAAAAAGTGGATGGAAAAGATACGCCATGCACACACTAAGCAAAAGAGTACTGGTATGTCTGTAATACTATCTGACAAAATAGACCTTAAACAAGTGTGAAAAGAAAAAGAGAGACATTTGGTAATAATAAAATATTTCCTTCAAGGGAAGGTACACAAATCTTATATTCATATGCTCTAATAATATAGCTTCAAAAAATTCAAAGCAAAGTTGAAAGAACCAAAAGAAGAAACAGGCAAATCCATAATCATTGAGTCAGACTTTAATACTTCCCTGCCAGTAACTTATAGGACAGGCAGAACAATTATAAAGAGATGTCGAGAACTATAATTGACCAACTTGACCTAATGGACACTAAAACCCAAATCAGAAAACGTAGCTTTTTTTTTTTTTTTGAGAGGTTTTTGCTGTAGGGTGCGTGTGCTCTCTAGAAAGACAGAGAGGCAGAGAGACAGAAAGCAAGAAACACCCCCCAGGGGGGATGGCCATGCCACAATCCCTTCTCCTCCATTCTCCTCCCAGGATCTTGGGCACACACGCACATGCACCCAGTGGCGTGAGTTTAAGCCACCGGGTCCAGGACTCGAACCATGATCAACTACATGGGAGTCCAGCGACATAGCTATTATGCCAACTGGTAGTCCCAAAATATAGTTATTTTTAATTACTAATGAGAGTTTATA